CAGCTCTCTCTCTCTCTCTCTCTCTCTCTCTCTCTCTCTCACACACACACACCTAGATTCGTCGGTTCCACCGACATCTCCCCTTCCTCCTCTCGTACCCGTTCCCATTCCCCTCGCCGCCCACCCACCCAGCGAGGTCAGCAGCTGAGCCGACGACGTTGCCGACGTCAAGGGGGTGGCGGAGGTCAGCGAGCCCGGCGTGAACGAAGAGGAAGACGGGAGCGTAGACACAACCACGAGGTCGTTGCTCGAAACTGTCCGTACCGAAACGGGGGCCTGAAAGCTCAGGGACCGATCCGCGCACCGGAGATTTTGGAATGCCACACGCTGGCATCTGGGTGGGGAGTTTTGGAGGAATGGGGTGCGGGGAGGGAAGGGGTGGTCGGAGCATCGCGAGAATGCATCGTGCCTGGAGTTACGACTCATGGGATGTGACGTTCACGCTTCCCGTCGTTCCATTCAGTATACAGGTCTAGCAGTACCGCGAGGCAGTGAAAGGCAAACCAGGGATAACAGCGCTGGACAAGGTGGACGCAGTGATATGAGAAGGACAGACGAGGAGGGAGAAGAAAGAAACAGAAATGGGAGGAGAGAAGGAAAAGGAGCGGGAGAAAAAACAAATGATTAGTACAAGAACACTGTCGCAACCGTTCACGGGGAATCTTCAACCCGTCCTACACGAAGCACTTTTCCCACATCCATTGCCACGGGTTGGAGTAAACGCAGAAAATGCTGTGAGCATGGATTTGAAGAAAAGACAGACAAACAATGACTACCTCGCCCACGTGATAGACGACGCCATGGCTCCCCGGCATATCTCGAAGAACGAGGGGTTGAAGTTGTAGGTCGTGAGCCACTGCTTCGTGGTCGAAACGGAGATAACGCAGAACATGCCGCGTTGGCGCACCTGGTGTGGGTGGGGGCAATTTCAGCAAAAGGATGTTAGAAATGCTGGCACGTCAAAGAGATGGTCAACATCTAACCCAGTTTTTCCAAATTGTTGCGACCTACCCCCAAAATCTTGCGGTGTCTCTTCTATGTCTGCCACGGTTGGAATGCGGCTGACACCCGATCAGAGTTGAGCTGCGTTTTAGTTTACTAGCAAAACCAACAACTCTTCGACGACCAATTAGGAGGCCACCACCACAAAGGCAAACATGAACAGCCGCAACAACAGCAACTCTGGAAGGGTGTGCGACAAGGGTTGGCAATCATCCCCGCGAAAAACGCTGGAAAGCATGTGAACACTACACCGACGGTCCATCGGTGTCAGCCTACACAAGGAGCTGGACACATGGTCTACACCCTGGTGTGTTTGTTTCAGCTGCCGAACAAACACCTGGTCACGAACACTGCCTACTCTAGAGCAGTTTCATGTCCACCTTTTGTTGCCAGCAGGATAGTCCCGCCCTTCCACTGCTTGCTTCCCGTCCACCTCCCAACCCCCCACCGCTGGCACCACCGCTGCCACCCGACCCAGACCCTGACCCGGAGCACCCAGATGCGATACCGAGGAGGGGGCGCTGCCGCTTCAGGTGTGGGGGATCTAGGGCAAACGACGACATCGGGCGGTTGTGCAGAGACCCTCCGCTGGCGCCGCCGGCGACGCCGGCGACGGCTCCGGTGCTTGTGGATGCCCCTCCTGCCGCTACTCGTTCCCTTTCCCCTTCTGCTCCTGTCGCTCCCCGCCCTCCACGCGCCCCTCCTGCGCGAATAAACGCGTCTTCGAGGTCCTCCCTATCGGCGAGTTGTCAAAGTACAAACCCGCAGGAACAAAAAAAAATTAACAGCGCGACAGAAAAACTACCATGATCGTCGTCGTTGGGGTGTGTTGGCTTGGCCGGACGACGAAAAATAATGCGATGGAATCGTTAACACCCAGGTCCTCGCTGAAAGATTGTCGAGACCATAACACTGCCCGGGAAAGTGGAAGTGAAGATAAGCTAGTTTCACAATAGCGTAAACATGCACAGTTGAAACAAAAGAACACACTCCTAGCCTCACATGTTCACGAAATTGGCAACACACAGTAACCTGTCCCTACCTCACGTGGGTCTTCGGCGCACCGTCGAACTCAAGACCGAGGACGATGATGTACTGGCCGGGGTCGTCAGTCGAATTGCTTTTGCCGGGCCTGCGTTCCCAAAAAAACGAGCAGCAAATAGTGCGCGTTTTCATACAAGGCGCTACAGAACGCCAGGCTTTGTTGCGCCACCGCAGGTGTAGCCACATCAAAGAATCGCGACGAAATGGAGGGTTGGTCACAGGTCTGGTTTCACATTACCTCCGTGGCGCGAAGCTGCTGAGGATGGCGGTTTTCGGGCGTTCTCCCATCTTAGACAGGTTTATCGCCGTCGTCGATGTGAAAAAGCTAGAATGTTGCTGCGTGTACAAAAGCGAACAGAACACAAACCAAAAACAAAAAGAGCCGGCATGGGAGGGGGGACACGGACGGGGGTTGGCCAGGGGACAGCGGTCGCCCAAACGAAAACGCTATTGGCACGCGGTCAGGGATGGCCTCCCCTGTTCCATCAGACTGATGTGGGCGTGGCGATTTTTCCGGCCACAAAGCGCGACCCAACCCCGGCCTATCTTCTCCTAAGAACAAGTACAGATGCAGGTCAGCCACAAAGGGATGGGCGCAACACGAAGGCCTGGGTGCATTTCGGCGTGATGATGGGCGATGCCCAACGGGTACACTAGGCCTCGCTGAACAGGTATTGTCTAGCCCAATCACCACGCGAAAGCAATCTTATTACTCACGTGACAGATCGCCTGTGTTAGGTCAGCGGCGAACGTCGGAACGGCCCATCCCGGGATGGACTCGTTGGCCACTATCTGCTGAGTGACGGGGGAGGTGCCTCCGGCAGCCTTATCCGCCAGGCGCCCCACGATTGTGCACACCTAAAATGTCCGTTCATCCGCCGATCCGTCCGCAACCACGTGACCCCATCCATCCGTATGGCCCACCATGGTCCCGTACATAAGGACAAGTGTGCACCGTAACGACAGGCGCGTAAAATAAACAAGCAAGGATGTCACAAGAGGGACAACTTCATAAGAGCGATAAGGCAATGCTGGGGATTGTGACACAAAATACAAGTACGACACGAAATGGAAGAGCAATCATAGAGAGGCAGGAAGAGAGAAATGATCCACAAACTTGGGAATCTTCGCGGGCGATCTGTTCTGTTGACCTTCGAGGCACACACCCACAAAACACTAAGCTTTACCCAACGAAACTCGAGGGCAGCTCGGGCCCTACTTCACCAGCAGCACACACTCCAAATTATTGGCTACGATCGAAGAGTACAACAAAGCCTTACCGACTTCACGTCTTTAGGGGTTCGGTGGCGAACAGGCGGCCCTTCGTCCAAAGCGTTCCCCTTCTTCCCTGCCGTCGCCGCCGCAACAGCAGCAGCCTTATGCCCACTGCCCCGGGTCAGCTCGGTGAATTTATTCTTCTTGCTTTCGGCCGCCGCGGCGCTTTGAGGCAAGCCGCGGCTCGGCCCCGTTCTGTCTCGGAGAAGGAGTCTCTCCATCATGTACTCTGCCAGGGCCTGAAACCACGTGGTACGGTTTCAAGCCGTCGCAATGTACCCAAACAAAACGGAATCGAGCATCAGGGCAAACCTTCAAGCCTACCACCGCACGGAGTATGCTTGTGGCGATCGCAGTAGCAGCTAGGCTTGCCGATCCGGTGATTTCTCAGACGCAGCCACCTACCTCCCCCGCCGTTCCCTGAGTCGCGCGTACCTTCACACCCTGCGTAGAAAGCGTCAGGTTGTCCAGGACAAGTTTTTTTTCTTTGTTTCACACGACTCGCCCGCTGTCGAATTTTCATAGATGCTGACCGCGTGTACGGCGGGCACGCGTGCAACACATACCTGTTCGAAGCACACTGTGATGAGGAACATCATGTAGGGCACGTTGATGCCGCCAACCGCGAACACCTCCACTTCCAGCGCCAACCACCGCGGGGCGGCCGCTGTCGCCTCTTTATTCTCGCCAGCCACGGCCCTGCCGGCCTCACCGGTCGCCGCTGCCTCCGGCATTGCCTCAATGCCAATATTGTCGACCGCATTGTCGTCCACCAGCGAAGAAGCCGACCGGGATGACGACTCCCCGGCCCCGCTGCCAACATCGCTGCCGCCTACCGCCGCCGCAGAAGCTCCTAACCCCGCTCCGTCCGGCGCGGTATGGACGATCTCCGCGGGAGAGCCCGGCGGCGAAGACAGCGACGACGGCGGAGAGGACGCCCGCACCGACGCCGGCACCAGCGATGATCGCTCCAAGGGTGCCGGTGCCGACGAAGCCGCGGCCTCGGCTGCGGCCTTGGCCTTCGCCACCGCGGCGAGGCCGTCCGCCCCGGCCAGGATCTCGATGTCCATGCCGCCGCCGGTCGCGGATGTCCGGGACTCGAGCTCGCTGATCGGCGAGGGGCGGAACCCGGTCCGTAAGGAAGGCGTGCGCGCTCCCGTCTTGGCGTCGAGAGGCCAAAGCTTAACGAAGGCTAGGCCCTCTCCCACCTTTTCCCGGGGGGCGGCGGTGGTGGGAAAAGATGCGAAAGGTATGTCGCCGAGGTAACCCAGGAGTTTGATGAGTATTGGTATACATGCCAGAGGAACGCTCCTTCCGATGGAGGATATATGGCCCCAACACCCCCCCCAGCCGTTCACAAGACAGCGTGGCAGTGGCAGTATTCAACCAGCACCGTCGAGGGACCCTTATGTCATGAGCTACCTGTCCAGAACGTGCAAAAGCAGAAAGGAAACCTGCGCCCCTAGCCGCAGAAACGAAGTCGCATGCATAGCCCCCGCATCAACACAACTCTCTCGTGGGAAACCCAAGCTGCTGCAAGTGTGTGACATCGGCTAGAAAAGTACGATCACAAACAGTAGCTGAAACCAAAAACATGGGACGGCAGTAACCCACGCACCTTTCGGGCCGCCTCCGCTGTCCGTTTCGCTGCCGGGTCACCCCTGCGAACGCCAGTGGTAGCCTGCCGCGACGAGTACACGAAGTTCAGGTCGTTCGGGTCGACTTCGACGTCCTCGACCAGCCCTTCGTCGGGCCTGGTAGCGCCGGCCATACTTCCACCGGCGCCGTCTTCTCGTTTCCCTTCTCCACTTCCACTTCTCTCCAAGTTGGCCTTTTTCCCGTCCTTGCCCTTTGTCTCTTCCAATGCCACGCTTCCTTGCTCGCCGGGCGAGGGCCTTCCTGCTTCCTTTACCTTCGCCGCTGCGATGGCCGCCGCCGCCGCCGCCGCCGCCCCCGCCGTGACCGCGCGTGCCTCGTCGTGCGGCTTCGCCACCGCGAAAGAACTCGACGACGAGGAGGAGTACTCGAGCTTGCTGCCGCCCTCCGGTAGACCGCTGCGCGCCTTGCGCTCGCTCTTGCCGCTAGAGTCCAGATCGTCAACGGAGCGCATCCTTGCGGCTGGTCCGCCGGGGCGGGCGCCGGCGGCCGTGGTGGCGGCGGCGGCCATTGCACCGACGCCTGCAGAAGCCCTTCTTGTGCCACTGCTACTGCTGCTGCCGGCACGATCGTATAAGCCGCCGACGGCGTCGACACCCGGCGGCCCGTGGCCACTGTCGTTGCCTCCGCTAGGCACGGCTACGCCGCCGGCCAGGGTGATCGCCTCGTGCACAGCCGCCGTGACCACTGCTTCGGCCGCGGCCGACGTCTCTCTACCCTCGGCGGCGGCACCGTCCCAACTGTCGCCGCCTGCACGCCCGCCCCCGACCGAGGCCGAGCCGGACGCGCTGCCGGGGCCCCCCTGGGAGTAGGCGCGGGCGAGCGGAGAGCTGCCGGTCGACCGGCGCCGGTGGCCCCGACCCTTAAAACTGATGTCGAGGCGTGGCGGTGGTGGTATCAGCTGGGATTGCTGCCGAGGCTGTTCCAGCTGAGGCGACTGGGGCGGCTGGCTTTCGTTCGTGGCGGAGTGCAGGATCTTCATGAGCCCGTCCGCGCACAGGACTGACCGAAGGTACTGGAGCAGCAGGAACGTGTCGAGGACGCCACCAGCGGGCAGGGAGAACCACGCCCGATCGTGTCCCGGAAGGGAAGCGGGTGCAGCGCCTTCCTTGCCCCCCCTGTCCTCCTTGCGGACCCTGGTAGTGGCGGCAGTGAAGCTTCCCTTGCTGCTGCGGCTGCCGCCGCCGCCGCCGCCGCCGCCGCTGTCAGAGTGCGACGTTTCCTGTTGTGTTTGCTCGTCTGCTGCTCGAGCCACGAAGTCTTCGCCTCCGCTACCACTGCCACGGGAGATAGCTTCTTGTACTACGCGCCCAATAAGTCCTCCTCTAGAGACGCCGCCGCTATCCCTGGCCGGATCGGCATTAGGGCCGGTACGCACAAACTCCCAGTCTTCAGCTGTCACCTACAGAGGCACGACCAGAGAAAGAAAAAGACGGGCGCTCGTGAAATGTTGAAATTTGTCTATGCGAACAACGTTGGCATAGGTTTCCTCGGATTCTTGTCCACTTCCAGAGAGGAGTGAGTTATCAGTACGTTTCATCCGGTAAGCGAAAGCAACGACCTGCTTTGAAACAACATGACGGCGTGCTCGTTCCAAGACGCGTTGTAACTCGACCTTTTGGCTTTTCTGACCCACCCCGCAGGACCTACAATCCCTCCCCGACGTTCTGCCATTGAGGGTACATACAACGCACACGCTTAACGATGCCTAGCGGTAACGCGCGACATCATCCGCAGCAAACGCACGTTCAAGTGGTCGTTCATGCCGAGCTGCGACGAGAGCGCCTCCCATCCTTGTTTCGCTAGCTCGAATTCGATCTTGTCGATAAGTCTCCGCTTCAGTTCCGTGCTCAGGTCCTGCAAAGACGTGGAACGCCGCGGGGGGCGGAACGACACGTTCGTGGTGGTGCAAACGAAAGAACAAAGACAAAAACATATAAATTTTGAATATGATGTACCGACAACACGGCGTCTGTGTCCGCCGAGCAAAAGCGTCGGCTGTGCAGATAGACTTGCCCGATTCGACTGTTCCGTGAAGGTCGTCGGTGGAGAGGGTCCGTGGTACTGCTGCGCGAGGATCACCTTGTTCGTGAAGCTATTCCACCTGACTCTGTGCTAATTTAACGTTGCGGCGTTGTGGCAGGTGTCCCGGAGCGTGTTCAACCCGCTTAGCCTAGTGTCACTTTGAGGACATTTGGGATCGCTGTGAAAGACACCGTGTACTCATACCAAATGGCCAACCTCACCTCGATTCCGTAGACTTTGAGCTCGATAGCCGGTTGAGATGATGCCTCCTGCCTGGACCCGCGTGACGCCGCATTCCCTCTGGGCGACTGTGCGCGGAACGCCGAGCCAAAAACAGACAACAAGGCAACGCGATCAAAACTGCTACCGTGATGGGCGGCCTCTCGTTGTATGAAACACTTCTAAATATATCATTGATGAAAGTTTTGTGTGTCGGGGACGCCAGCCGGACCGAAAGTCCATGTAAACCCAGGTGCACAGAGCGGAACGCTTCCTGCTACAAAATGAAATAAAAATAGAGCAAGCCATGCAAGCAAGTCTGGCGCTTCGGATTATACGGTATTCATTTTGACGCCTTGCCTTATCTTCACAACCAGGAACGTGCTGTCGCAAAGCTTCCAGTGTAAG